AGAAGGCCTGATTTCGTGTTCGCTCCTTCCAGGCCTCCCTCGGCGTTAGACTCCGCAGCCTCACCTCCTGGCTCGTGCGGGTGATCCGGGTAGATCTATATATAAGAAAGGGAAACTTTTAAATGAACAACTGTATATGTCATATGACACAACACTCTGAATGAAACTTCCCTGGCCTTATATCATGCAGTTTTAATGATATTATTAGCTGCAGCCATGCCACAGACTTTCATGGGGAATTAAAAGGGTTTTGTTACTCCCCTGCCAGGTTCTGGGGATCCCTAGAAATTCTGAAGGTTTCATCCTAGGAAGTCTTCAGAAACCACAGAACAGAGTAGGGAACAATTTAAAGCCAAAAATTTGCTGTTTTTGGTCCAGCTTTAAACCACCTCCTACCCCATTCTGAATCTCCAAATAGCTTCTTAGTATGAAAGGGATCCCTAGGGCCTGGAGGTGGGGGAGGGATAAGAAGCTTTATTCTCCAGAAAAGGCTACAGCATGGCTGTGGCTGATGATGTCATCAGAGTTATATGGTATAATTTGTGCCAGATGGATTCTAGCCAGTGTATGGCAAGTTGGCAACGAAAGCCAACAGATCAGTTTTCTTGTGGAAATATGCTTTGACAAAAATAGGACATAGCTAGTGATTATTATAAACCATCTTGATGTAAGCAACCCATTTGACTTGACCAAATGACCACAGTGCAGCTTTGTACATATACCGTGTTGCATTTCTGAATATTCCTTCTCTAATAGCTGATTGGTGTGCAGTGTAAAATGTTGGCAGTATCCACAAAAGGTCATTGTGATACCCCATGTTGCACCATTTAGTGTGCTTCATCATGAACTGTTCAGCTCTCAAAAGCGATTGTGTGAACCAATGCCAGCAGAGAGGGCTCAGATGTTTGACCCTGGAGAAATAGCATGAATGTGAAAGAAGTAGACTGCTTCTAGTACATGTCATCATCCAGACCAGATGTAGCTGCTGTTGTCTATAAGGTGTTTTGGATTACAACTCATATCAAGCCTAGCTTCCATGGCTAAGTTGTACTCCAGAGCATCTGGATATCTACCTCTGATCTAGAACATCTGCTGCTGCAAAGCTGTGCTATTCTGGCTGGGCAGCACGTGTGTAGCCCACATTGATAAAAAGGGTTGGTATGAAAATATGTAGGGAATAGTTACTGAAATATTTGGGGACATATGGAGGCTTGGCAGTATGTTTTCAGGGGGAAGGCGCTGAGACTCAGTAACTTGCCAGGATTTGTTTTGACTTCCAGTGACAGAAACAGAATAAATTTACAGTTTGTATAAGTTGGAAGATTCAGATTGTTGGATTTGTAATTTGTATTACTTTCGGAGGAAACCAATGCATTATCCTCTCCTCAGATTACGTCTGGTGCTGAAGACTGTTGCCATGTTCGTCTGTTTAAAATAAAAGTATGAGGGGATGGGATTTTGTCCATTGGCCTCATTTTCCAATGTTCACATTTCCATGTGCAGTCTGGTGAACAAAGCTTGTCTGCAGTCATAAATGTGGATGGCAATGTGCAAGTAAGGCAAAGGATAAAGGTCACAAGGACGTGATCATCTCTTTCCTGATATGGCAGAAGTCACAACCTGTTTATCTGAATTTCTTCAGTGTCTTCTCAGGTTGTTGTCTAGGAGCGAACTTACCAATTGGCAGTGTGAGGCAGCTGCCTCAGTTAGCAGATTTCAGTTTTCATGCAAGGGCAGCAAATTGTTATTATATTTTTACATCCCTAAATGGGTTGAGGCACTTGTGTTTTTTCTGGATTCCGTGCCAAAATCACATGGCTGGTTTGCGCGCATTGCATCTTGATTCCAGTTGGGAGTGACACTATGGGGTTTTTTTTAACCTTGGGCAGCAAAATGTCTTTAAGCAAGTCCCGGTTCTGTGAGATTGATTCCTCTCTCCCTACCCTTATTTATAATTTAAAACATTTATCTTCAAAATGATATGGAGAGTTACCAAATGATAACAAGATCCAGAAATGCATGTTAATTCATATTTTGAACTCTCAGACAAATAAGCAATTGTTGGGAGTTGTGTTTTCAAACAAAGTGTACTCATTGATATTGATAAAGTGTAACTATTTTTTAATCAGAAGATTTCTGGTATATCCCTAGCTTTGATAGATGGGCTCTGTCATGAGCAAAAGGCCACATTTCCTGAGTTTAATACCTAAATTTAATAATCTAAGATATGATTGTTGCAGCTCAATGAATTTTTAACAACAGAATAGTATAAGTGAAATGAAGAAGAAAAAACTAGTTAGTCTGCATCTTTAAGAAATAACCTGGATTCTAGGTATATGCACTTGTAACATGTTAAATTATTTTTCATGCAAATGTGTATTGTACAATTCACTTTCCACAAATGATATGTCATAAATGAATCCAGCAGATAAATTGTTAAAACTATGACAAACCTATGATTTTTTTTTTCAAAATAGGTTGAAGAGTTTAGGGCTCAGCTATCATATCTTGCTGCAGGCGTCATTTCTTATGACTCACCATATGAAAACCACCGTGTGGAAACATTTCAGTGGAATAATTTTGCTTATCAGATCTTCAAGGAATACTTTTCTTTGGAAAATATAGGAAGCACATGTAGGGATACTGGTCCTAAGTTGCTGCAGCTGTCCACAGCTAGATTTACAAAGCATTAGTACAACAAATTCCACAAGTTCGTTGTGTGACCCTACAATAAAAAAATGATCTTTCTGGCAGCTATTTCTCAGACCTTTGTGTCAATTATATTTGCAAGTGGTAATACCTTTCAGCCATTGGGATATGGCAGAACATAGAATATGTTCTTCTCATTTTCTTCAGCTTGGGAGGATATTAAAAATGAAAAGTGAACAAACGTAGAACCCAGAAGGCCACCAAATGGAACCAGGAGCAAAATAGTGGCCAAAATTCTATTGCTTTGTGGTAGTAAATTGCTCTAGAGTAGGCGATTGGACCAATGGGGATTTTGTGAGTCAACTCCGCTTTAACTTCCATTGAATCAAATGACCCTACTCTAATTGTGACTTGCTTTAGCCAACTCTGACTGTTTTTACAGAACAGAACTTGAGTAATTAAAAGCAAGCACAGAAGACCTTTAGTTGGGTGATGTACTGGATCCGTCATGATAACTGTAACTGGCCTGTGCCTCAGGAACTTCAAGGTTCAGTAGTGTAATTCCTTAGCAAAAGTAGTGCAGGAACAAGTGTAAGAAAATTGTGTTGATTGCTTGAGGGACAAGATAATCCTGTGCTCACTTCAGGAAATTTGTTTAGCATCATAATTTGCTGAACAAACCCTGTGTAGGCTGAAGAACACAATTGGCCTGGTCAGAACGCAGTGTTCTTGAGAGTAGGGGAAGATGGAAGAATTTAAACAGGGCACCCTCAACATTCTAAAAATTCTAGTTTTAGAAGTCCAGACTACATTATAAAAGTTCATGATTCATGTTTCTGCAACGTAAGGGCAATTCTATCATTAGTGAAAGTGCTGCCTAAGGCAGCAGAGCCTGGGAGACAACAAGGTCTCAGAGAAAAGAACTTTAGGGACTGCAGTTATGCCCCCAAGCTAACCTCCTGCCTTCAGTCATGGTCAAGGATGATCAATTGTGTTAAGGAAAGAGTTGACTGTCAGGCCAACAGGTTTTTGTCCAAAGAGTGGAAGAACATTTTTATAATTGCCTCAGACACCAGGTGTCTTGGGTTAGCCCTCCTATTCCATTAAGATGTATAGCAGAGGTATGCAATTTTACCTCAGAATCAGTTATCTTAGATGCTGTTCCAGGAATAAAGAAAGATGGCTGGAGTAATGAAAGTAGTAATAGAGATGGGATCTCAAAAAGTAACAACAACAACAACAACAACAACAACAACAACAACAACTTCTCTATCTACAGTATTTTGGCCAAGTGGTTTAAGTTTCTGGCTGTGGACAGGGGGTGGACTCAGAGATTCATAGGGTCTTTTCCAGCTAAGCAGTTCTAAAATTATGATAGTGTGACCTTCATGGACTATGAAAGAAGAAAGAGATAATATAACTACTGCTATCACATTACATCTATAAAATATCAAAATAAAGTCATTTCAGTACCAGCTGCTCTTGAGGTACTATATACATACTAGTAAACTGCCAGGGTAAGGAGTTTGATCACCTGCTGTCTCTTGTAGGAGAAGAACTACCGTGTATGGTTTTGGAAAAGTTACAGAGTCCCAGAGCAACTGCAGAAGAAGGAAATAATAAACTGCTTTGAGAACTCTATACCTTATACATTGGAATAAGTTGTAATTGACTTGATGGCACATATTAAATTATCAGCATGTACAGATTTCAGATCACTCAAATTTTATTGGTAAATTGTACTAAGTGATCTTTTATCCTTCTGCCCATATCTGAGGACCAAAGTGTTCAGGCAGGTTTTTCACAATCATGATTGATTCCCTGAATGGCATTTCAAAGTTAAGATAGTTTGTAATATGCACCTGCTTTTAATTGTTCACTTGTATTTTAATTGGTGCGTGCATTTTTTTAATGTTTCACTTACTATGTTTTTAACTCTATTCTTTTAATACTGTGACCTGCCTTGTGTTCCTTTATTAGGAGAAAGGCGTCCTATAAAACAAACAAACAGTAAATTTTGGTAATGCAAATTAGGTTAATAAGGAAAGGAAAAATGAGGAAGAATTTAGCACCGACTCTTCATGCTACTTTCAAAGTTTGGCTCCTTGTTTTATACATGAGCAGGAGGGTAACAGCCAGATTCTGCTAAAGAATAAATGATTCCTGTATAAGAGCACATCATTCTCTTAAAAGTAAAATCTGCATTTGAAATAGCCAAGGAGTATGATATTTCTTCTTACAATATATGTTAACAAAGTAACTTTTATTTCCTCCTGATTTGACAGCTTATGTTTATATTATACTTTAAAAGGCTTTTAATTTTCATTTTGTTTTGCCTCTGCAACCAATAGCTACGATGTTATATTTGCTGGAGGACCAGAAGAATTGTTAAAGAAGTTCCAGCAAGCTAATCACAAGGTTGTGTTTGCAGCAGATAGTTTAATATGGCCTGATAAAAGACTGTCGGACAAATACCCTATTGTTCGCAGTGGGAAACGATTTCTTAATGCAGGAGGTGAGTAATGTTTGTAGAAATTAAAAAGATCCTTTTGTTCTTGAAAACAAAATTGTTGTCTGGTAGTTGTTGTGGGTTAACTTGCAATATTATACTCTTGAGAGTCCCCTGGACTGCAAGGAGAACAAACCTATCCATTCTAAAGGAAATCAACCCTGAGTGCGCACTGGAAGGACAGATCCTGAAGCTGAGGCTCCAGTACTTTGGCCATCTCATGAGAAGACTCCCTGGAAAAGACCCTGATGTTGGGAAAGTGGGACGACAGAGGATGAGATGGTTGGACAGTGTCATGAATTTGACCCGACTCTGGGAGGCAATGGAAGACAGGAGGGCCTGGTGTGCTCTGCTCCAAAGGGTCATAAAGAGTTGGACACAACTAAACGACTAAACAACAACAACATTAGACACACTACACCAGAACACAGAGACAATTCTAGCTCCTGTCCTCTGAAGATGCAAGTCACAGAGACTGGCAAAACATTAGGAAGAAAAACCTCCAGAACATGGCCCAAGAAACCCACAAGAATCATCGTAACCCACCCATGAAAGCCTTCGAGAACAAAATTGTTGTCTCATTATTATATGTTGTATACAAATTCCACCTCCTCCACCACCATTGATAATATTCAGTGAACAATATTTCCTTATGTGCATGGGTATTTTTTAAAATTACGTTTTTAATTGAAAACAGAAAAAGAGAAGAGGAAAATGGGGGAAAGGAATGGGAAATACATGAAGTAATGGACTAGGTATATACTGACTATACAGGCTGACCTTGGCCTTAATCCAGTTGATAGTCCCAATTAGAGTAGACCCACAGAACTGAATAATTATTCAATGTTTACATAGTTATCATCGATTCAGTATGTCTACTTTTGTTGAGGCTACCTGCTGGATTCAGATATTTATATCAGAAACATTAATGAAACAAACCACAACTTACTGAACTTGGCATGTATAAGATATAATTAAACCTCTGATAAAAATTTCCCAGTTGTCATTCACTGATTTTCAAGTGAACATGAATGGAAGCTTCTTTCAGGTCATTTCCAATCAAAGGTTACATGTCCCTCTTTGTCCTCGTGTGAGCAGAATGAATATTCACTCAAAGTAAAGATGTCTTCAGAATGTATTCTGGGACTGCAATCCTATGCATAGTCATCTCGGAGAAAGTGCCACTGAATGTAGTATGACTTACTTCTGGTTAAGTCCATATACGATTGCTCTGAAGATTTTTCTCCCCTGTTACATGAACATTACAACATCCATACCTGGAATGCTTTTATTCTGGCCATAAGGAATATTAAACTAAAACATGGAAACAATAGAAATTCAGAAGGTTGTTATTATCAAACACCATCAATTTAACAGCTTTTTTTATAGCAGCCGGAATATTAAACTAAAACATGGAAACAATAGAAATTCAGAAGGTTGTTATTATCAAACACCATCAATTTAACAGCTTTTTTTATAGCAGCCTTTGTCCATCTGGTGCTCTCTAGATGTTTTAGACCACCTTCCTTCAGCCCAAACCAGCAGTGGTGATGACCAGGAATAATAGAAGTAGTAATCCAAAACTACCTGAGGTTCCTCTATACTTGGTGTTTGGTATCCTAGAACAGACGTAAATGTATTGTATTTTAAAGTTGAAGAAATGATGCATTAATTTAAGTCAATTTGATTTCTTTCAGGATTTATTGGTTATTCTTCATCTGTAAACCGTATTGTACAACAATGGGACTTGCAAGATAATGACGATGACCAGCTTTTTTATACCAAAGTTTATATTGACCCATTGAAGAGGGTATGTAGACTTTAATAAGTAATACTTCTTGTAACTTGGAGTATTTCTGCTTTGCAAACAGTTTTTAACAATGAATGAAGAAAGTTCAAGCTGCAATCCTGGTTTCATCTGGGTTTAAAAATTAAAAAAGACATTCTGACAGTATTTGGTTTCAGTGCATGATTGGTTGGCTTAGTTGGGTTCTGTAAGAGTGCTTGAACTTGCTGGAAATAAGTTCAAGCCCTTACATTGAAGAGTATATTTATTTATTTATTTATTTATTTTTGGACTTATATACCGCCCCATAGCGCTACAAGCACTCTCCGGGCGGTTTACAATTTAATTATACAGGCTACACATTGCTCCCCCAGCAAGCTGGGTACTCATTTTACCGACCTCGGAAGGATGGAAGGCTGAGTCAACCTTGAGCCAGCTACCTGGGATTTGAACCCCAGGTTGTGAGCACAGTTTTAGCTGCAGTACAGCGTTTTAACCACTGTGCCACGAGGCTCTTCAATATAAAGGGTCTGAAATGGACACCAGCAGCACTAAAATACAAAAATCTTGTGGAGTCTAATACTATACTTCAGGCTTAATCAGCATAGGATTGTCAGACTTAATCATGTGCAGGCATTCAGCAAGAAGGGGACAGCACTCAGCATTTCTTCCCACTACTTCTCTTGGCAATATCTCCCTCTTTGTGATGTCCTAGAGGGATTCGCTGGTGGGTCGAAACGTCCAAAATCACAGGGAATGATTTTTTTAAAAAATTCCTATTACATCTTTTGTGTTCAGAATTCCATAGCTAATTATGCTTGAAAATGCAGAACAGTTGTGCCAATATTCAGAAATCTGGGAAAAACTCATTAGAGTTCTAAAAGTCCTAGGTCAACGTTTATATAGGTAAACACTGTCATCATCATCACACATTGACAGTTTATAGTCTAACCAGCTGGGGCACTTCACTCAGGCATGAATGCTACCTAACATAGAGCTGCTAGTAGTCCACTCCAGATGTGGCAACAATCAGAGGCAGTTCCCAGATGTGTGGACCGCAGACTACCCATGACTTCTGTGCATGTATCTCTTTGCAAGTGGAGAGCTGCATGTGCAAGGATGCATACCCATTTCCCCAGATCTGTTTAGTATATAGATCGGTGTGCCTACATAGCCCCTTACAGGCAACTGTAGTTCTCCTATAGAACTGTGCAAGCAGGGAGAGAACCTCCCTTCGATGTTGAACAGTTGATTTACAAGATTATAATAGATTTTGTTACACTTGGAAGGCAGAGCACAGATACTTCCAGAATGGCTTAGAGATAACATATATGTTAAAAACACAAACACAACACAACATGTATTGTTAGGATGTTTCTCAGATAGCAAGAAGAGGGATTCCATTTGGGAGAGCGGCAGGTATCCGATGCCTTCCCCTGGTTTTCTGAGATGCTCTCCTGGAGCCATGTTGGTTTACAATAGCAGTGTGTACCATTCATGATGGATTGTATTCTGTTGGACTGGATCAATTGTTTTAAAGGTTTAGATACCCTGATGCTAAAGTTATATGTGGATTTTCCATGGACTTACACCAAACGTAGAAAAATATGTGGATAAGATTCCAGGAGAGTAATCCCCAGGAATAAGCCCTGCTACTCTATTTAAGGAAAAAAAACCTGAAGGAAATGATCTTATACAGTTTATATTAGAATTACTAATACTGTTCTCTATTTGCCATTTAACAATCTTTGTGAAAACATTTTTAGCTCTAGTTTATATTAACAATATTCTGTATATATAATGACATTTTCAATGTTTATTCCTTTTATGATATTTTAAACTGTTAATCAGTGGAATCTGACAGATATTTCCTTACTTTTAAACTGCCAAATCACCATTCTTTAGAAAGTCGTGAACTTCGTTTGCTTAGGTTATAGAACAGAAAGCAAGCCTTTGGTGCTGGGTTCGTATAAACAGTTTCTCAATGAATCATAGGTTCATAAATCTTGATGACATAACTGAACTCTGAAGATATGTGAAACATTGAAAAAGATCTGGCTGAAAAATTAAGGTTCTTAATATGAATTTTCAAGGAAACCTGTACTCATGATTTTTAGCTAGCATACAGTTTTCAAGGTATTTAGCTTCAATTTATATTGCCCTGCATTTTATTATGCCTCATTTAGCATATTTTTCCCCTGTTATTATTCCTTAGGAACATATTAATATTACCTTGGATCACAAATGTAACATTTTCCAGTCTCTAAATGGAGCTATTGGTATGTATGCTGAAATGTCTCTTGAGGAATGGGAAATATAGTCACTAACTGTCTGAGAGGGTTTTTTAAAAATGGATTATTGTGCCTTGTTGCTTTTAAAAGTGCTTTTAGCATTGAGCTTGTTTACAGTTTTAATATGTGTTTAATTATTTCCTAAATATTAGTATACTCACTGTTTTTGCTTTTAAATATTTTATTTTTTAATGATGTACACTGATTTGGATCCTTTTTAAGGAGAAATGCAGTATAAAATACTTTAAATCAGCCAAATAAATAAATAAATATAGGTATCACATATATTGCTTGCCTGTGATGCACCACCTCTTATATAATGCCCTTGACACAAATACTTCTTTATACCTGTTACATCACATGGGATTATTGGTGTTTGATGACTGGGCTTTTGTTTTCCCTCACAGTCTCCTGCAGATATGTGAACATTAGATTTATTCTGGAGCCTGAAGGTTTAAAACCCCTTTGAATATCTCTCAGTGTGTTTGTTCAGTTTTTCTCATGAGAGAATTAGGAATAGAAGAGGGGCTTGAGGTGATGAGAGCAAGCTACGGGCCTGGCTCTAACCTTTTCCCAGGAACAATCCTGAGTGGAGTGTACCTGAGCAGGCCCCAAACTTGCCAAAAAAGTGTTGGAGAAAGAACATCCAGTTCCTCAAAGTTCTGAGATAAGAACTTTGGCAGCCCATTGTAAAAAAGCAGGCTCTTGAGACAGATAAATTATTATCTTAAAAAATATAGGAGGCTTCATATTCTTTTCAATATGTTCCTAAACAGTGGAACAAGTGGCTTAAAGAACTGTAGGTTTAAATGACAGGAAATGCAGGAATCTGTGTAAAATGCAAGTACTCAGACATTGGCGAAGAATGTTGTGCTGTTCTTCTTTGAGGAAATTACTGTTGACATATTATTAACTTCTTGATGGGCTACAGATGAAGTCCATCTAAAATTTGAAGAAGGAAGAGCCAGGGTTAGGAATTCTATGTATGACACCTTGCCAGTCACTCTTCATGGAAACGGACCAACTAAAGTAAGTGATAGCAACTTTTTTTCAGCTGTGATTTTTTTCAACATGAAGAAATGGGAGGCGGGGAATGCATAGCATAATTTTGGCTAGTAGCGTAATGAGATTTAATTAGCAGCATTAGGAACATGCAATTTATCATATCTGATAACTGCCCCATTGCCACTCATTTTTATTGTGCAAGCATTACTGCAGAAATGTGTGGAAGGAATATTTTTTGAGATGTGCCAAAGCAGAGTTTATTAATCTGTTCATATGATTTAAACATTCTTCCCCCAATCAAGCTTACTCTGAATTACTTTGGAAACTACATTCCCAATGGCTGGACGCCTGAAACGGGATGTGGCACCTGTGACCAAGATTTACTAGACCTAGCCACATTGCCTGTAAGTATACATTGCATGCAGTTAAACTTGTTCCATATGTAAAGCTGATAACATTTCCCAGATTTCTATCCACTTGGATAGCACTGCTTCTGCTTCTCTTACTCCTTACCTTCCACAGTATTTCTTGACCTGACATACCCGGTGTTTATTTCATCTCCACAAATGTCTCAATCCTGTCACCACTATAGCCCTAATCAATCGTATTTGATAGCCCCACCGCCTCCATCAATTCTTTAATCATGGAAAAGTGACTGACGGAAGAGGAAGAGGAAGCTGTTGCACCAGGTAGCCTCTCCAGGACAACCAGACTTACCCACTCTCAAAATGATATTCCTCCCGCCTTCCGTTCCCATCATACTCCTTCTGGTCTCTCTTCTTCCATTCAAAACCACCTTTCTCATTTTAAATTATCACTCATTTTGCAAACTCAAATAGCACATCTGGTTTTGAAAACTGACTTCATAGACTTCCACTATTTTCCCCTGTTCCTCTCCCAGTTACATATGTCCCCCTGCCTTCAATTCTCCTCTTGTTCTCAGAGGCCTGAAAGGGTAACAAGGAGAGAAGATGGTGAATTGAGGCAGAAGTACTGTACATGTTGAGCATATGGGAAGCTGTTCACAAAGAAGCAAGGAAAATAGGATAGGTTTGGTACTATTGGCAGCAATAGAGTAAGAAAAGGCAGAGGATGACTTAGAAGGACCCAGAATTGAAATCTGGTTGAATGAAGAGTTAACATGAAGCAAGGAAATGTAAGATGTAAGTTGAGAAGTAGAGGTATAAGGAAGAAGTGGAGAACACAGATGTCTGAAAGATGGAGACAATTCAAAACTATCTCAAATGGTGTAGGACTAGTTTTACTTAAGGGTAGGATGGCAAAAGGTTGCTGGAGACCATGACACTTTGGTTCAGAAAGGCCAAAGAAGATTAGAAGGTCATACCAAGTTTAGCATATTGATTATGTTGTGGATCTCTTAACAGGTTGAAGATCTCATGTGTTGGTTCTAAATCTCTAATGCATTTTGGAAACAATTTGGAAGATTCAGGTTTTTTTAAAGACATGAAAAGATAATAATTCTTATTGGGATGAATGGTATACGTTTGGCTTCACATCCAGACACTGCCTTCATGAAATTTTATCACATTCTGATATTTCAGACAGATACAAAACAAGTTCTAGGAAATTTGCCAGACCTTTCATGCCCATATTTAGTTTCAGGCTGAAATGCAGTTTCCAGTGTTTATACAAAATGTCTGGTGTAGAGGTAGAAACATATTTCTGTCTCACCGGTACATATCTATGCCCACCGCAGTACATTCTTGACCTATGTTGATTTAGCAGAACTACAAGGCGCTGATGCCCCCAGTCACAGACAAACACACCCACACGGTTATTGGCCAAGCTTGCTACTAAGCTTGTTTATATAGGACTCAAAGTTGGTTGCAATGTACAGGATTGGGAATGGGTGGGAGAGATGAGCAGAATTTCTTATTCCCATTCAGGCAATGTATAAGTAGAGTTTGATTTTTTTTTGTGAAGAGTGGTATGAATATCCTTTGATAAAATTGATTTTTTTTATGAATTCAAGTGAAACTATGGACTTCAGTGACAAGGAATTTGCTTCTCATTAATGAGCAGCAGTTTACCATTGCAAATCACACTCTTTCTCCTACACCAAATAACTGTACAACAGGATTGGGGGAAATAATTTGTACAGATGCATCATGAGACCATTTTAAAGATTCTTTAAGTATTTTACAAACATATATGAGAGGAACAGTAATTCAAAAGTAGCTTATTCAAGGCTATAGTATATGAAAAATAGAAAAGGAAAAAGAATTTTGAATACTGAAGCTTGCAGTATATTTTCCAAGACATATAATATGATTAATTTTTGGTTGAATTTAGTTCTTATTGTATCAGACTTTGAACTGAATGCTTTGCACTTTTTTGCCCATGTATTATTGTTTTTAGGAGACTCCAAGAGTAACAATTGGTGTTTTCATTGAACAACCAACTCCTTTCCTGAACAAGTTTTTAGACAGACTTTTGACTCTGGATTATCCAAAGGAAAAGCTTAGCCTCTTCATCCATAATAACGTGAGTACTTTATAACTAAGTGACTATTGAATAGTTATTTTTGTAAATTAATTTTCGAAAACTCCATCTCATAGATTTAGATTAACATTCTTAACACTGAAAGCAACAATTTGCTGCATAATAAAAATAGCATGCATATTCACAACAGCATTCCATCAAACAGATTTGAATCACCATTTTACCTCTCAATATGTATTGCTACAGTATGTATTGATGAGACTGTTCCTAAGGCAAGATGTTCAGAAAGTTACTTTTTGGGCTATAGCAACCTGAATTCCCCCAGCCAGTGTGGCCATTGGCAACAGTCATCCCCAAAGGTAACTCTTTGAAACTCTTAATTAATCCTGGAAACACTGCTTCTTTGATGATTGAATGCATAGTCTAGTGATGGGAAGGACAGGATGGAATTACAGTCACCTGCACTGGCCTCCAGTTCTTTCTGATCTGATTTCAAGCTGCTGCTTTTGATGTATAATCCTGGAGGCCAGGATGTCTGAAAAATTATTCCAAATGAGCCCACCTGGATCAATGCAGATAGGTTAGTTCACTTCCACTTGTAAACTGAACAGAATCCTTGAACACTATTGCTCAAAACGTATCTCAGTTACTAAAACATCTCCGAACCATTGTCCAAAGAGGCAGAAAGCCTGGAGTTTGGATGAGTAGTGCCTTCTTGTCGTAGTATAGGGTCCAGATTTATACCACCAGGTATAAATAGCCCACAAATGCTTGAACATGCCTAGATTGTTTCCAGCATTCTACTTTTTTCCTGCCATTTTGGGGGCTTTTGGAGGTCTTTAGGGGACTGCCTCCTTTTTTGTATAAAAACAGTGACCCTAGATAGTGCCAGGTGTAAAAAATACCAAGGACTAGTAAATCCCAGTTAGATGGATCTAAAGTGTGCTGCCTACTTTCTGATTACTGTAAAACCCTTAGGACTGAGCTTCGTGACAATCCCTTCCACACTGAGGACAAATACAGTAGTCCTAGATCGAGCTGGAATTTTTAGCATGTATACATTACTGAAACAGCGACATCTACGTTGGCTTGGGCATGTTGTGAGAATGGCTGACGGTTGGATTCCAAAAGATCTCCTGTATGGAGAATTAGTGTAGGGACATCACCCCAGAGGGAGACCACAGCTGCAATAAAAGGATATCTGCAAGCGGGATTTGAAGGTCTTGGAAATGGATTGCAACATTTACTCACACAGAAGCCAGGGGAATATCTCAAGTCCGATGTCCCTCAAAGCCATTTAAAGTCAGCCAAGTGAACTTTCTTTCCCCCTGACAGCCAGACAGCCACAAGAGGACAACAAGAAAAGCCAGAAAAGCTTCCAAATTCCCACCTACCCAGGATGACCCGAACCAGCCCTGTCCCTAGAAATCCTGCTGTGCCACTCCAAACCAATCCGTTTCTCTCCATGCTTCCCTTGCAATGGGCGGGAAGGTGAGCGGAAAGGCAGGACGGACAAACGGGGCTCGTCTCTCCCTCCTCACCCAGGTGCAAGGCAGTGCTTCACCGGGTGAGGACGGGGACCTGAGAGACCCTTTCCTTCCACCCGATCCACGCTCGGTGCTCCCCTAAGGGAGAAAGGCGAGATGTAGCAGGCAGAAAGAACTGGATCATCTGGCAGTAGTGATGGTGGCACTGGATCCACTGCCAGGACCACCATGTAGCAGGCAGAAAGAACTGGATCGTCTGGCAGTAGTGGTGGTGGCACTGGATCCACTGCCAGGACCACGGCTGCAGCTGCCTTCACAGGTTTGGCTCGCTCCAGCGCCCCCCTACCACCCCCTTCTGTTCCTTCGCCCCACACCAACCCTTTTCATTCTACCGCCCCCCTGAAAAATGAAATTGCTCCCTGGGGGGCGTTATTGCCCATGTTAAGAACCACTGTACTCGAGCATCACTTTGCTACTGCAGCAAATTTAGTGACATGATGACGGGGCAAAAGCAACCAATTTTCCTTTTTAAATAGGGTGCATTACTTTCCTGGTGCATCTTGTTTTAAAGGGGAAATTATTGGGTTTGTTGCAGTGCTAGTTTTTGTTGGTACAACAACAAGATTATGTAGTAGGCAGGGACCATAAAATGAATTGGGACCACGTATGATTCATGGACTTATTTCATACACTAGATTGCAACTTCATGCGAGGGATTATGAAGCAAAAATAGAAAAGGAAGAATCCTGTATTCATATATCCTTGCCACTATGATAGATTGTGTCATCTGTTTTCTTCTTGCCCTCTGCTATCCTGGGGACTAAGTCTTGGCTGGTTTGCTGCATGTTCAATTTTTACACATTTTGACTGGTCTGTCATTAATTCGCCTAGAATGGTCCTCACCGACCAGATAGGCGGGGTATAAATTAATTAATTAATTAATTAATTAATTAATTAATT